TGGTTGTGGAGTTGGTTGAAGATTGGTCGGAAGTAGAATGGTGAGGAAGGATTGGGTGCCAGATGCTGTTGATGTGAAGGCCTGGGTCTTGGGGTACGGTGTTGTGTTGGTGGATCTCGATGGCTTCTCGGACCCTTCGGGTGTGCCAATGTCGGATGTTGGTGATGAGGTGACTTTTATCCCAGTGAATGCGGTGGAGCTCTTGTTGTGCGTGCTTGACGATGGCTGATTTGTCCCAGTCGCTGCGTCGGTGGTGGGTCTTGTGTTCTTTGAGTCGGGTGTCGAAATCGCGGCCGGTTTCTCCAATGTAGACTTTGCCGCAGTCGCAGGGAATCTTGTAGACGCCTGGTCGTTTGTTGGATGGGTGCTTGTCCTTGTGAGAGTGAAGAGTGGAGTGAAGCTTGTGGCTGGATTGGTGTCTGACGAGGATGTTGGCTGAGCGGAGGATGCGTTGTAGTCGGTGTGATGTCTTGCCGATGTAGGGAAGTACGATGGTGGCGGTAGGCTTGTTATCAGGTTGGGTTCCGGTAGTGATGTTGTTGGTCTTGTGGTAGGAAGTTCGGGTGTTGATTTTCCTTCTTGGGTACTGGTTGATGGAAGTGAGTGCGTGCGTGATGTGCTTGAGTTCTTGCTGGAGATGTGCTTTGTCACTGAGTTGGTGGGCTCGTCTGATAAGTGAGTTGGAGACTGATTGGTGGACTGACGGATGGTGGTGAGATCGGAAATTGAGGTAGCGGTCTGTGTGGGTTGGTTTCCGGTATACTTGGTGCGCGGGGAATCCTGATGGTGTCTTGGTGATGAGTACGTCTAGGAAAGGGATTGAGTTTTCGTGTTGGGTCTCCATGGTGAACTTAATGCTGGGGTGTTGGTTGTTGATGTGGTCGAGGAACTGGTGGAGGTCTGGTGTGCTGTGTGGCCAGATGACGAAGGTGTCGTCGACGTAGCGTAGCCAGAGTGAAGGAGACTTGTCGGCGGACTTGAGTGCTTGGTGCTCGAGGTGTTCCATGAAGATGTTGGCGATGATTGGTGAGAGTGGAGATCCCATGGCTGCTCCTTGAAGTTGTTTGTAGAAGTCGTTGCGCCATTTGAAGGAGTTTGAGTGGAGGCAGGTGAGAAGGAGGTCGTGGATCTGGTCAGGTGTGAGCTTGGTCCTAGATTCGAGGTCTGGGTCTGAGATGAGGCGTTGTTTAATGATGTCGCATGCTTGGTCTACAGGAACGCTGGTGAATAGAGAGGTGACATCGAAGCTGACGAGCGTGTCGGATGGCTGGATCTTGGTTTTGGAGAGGATGTCGATGAAGTGCTTGGAGTTGGTGACGTGGTGCTGGGTTTGGCCTACGAGTGGTTGTAGAATGTTGGCGAGATGACGTGCAGTGTTGTAGCAGGATGATCCTCGGGTAGAGATGATAGGGCGGAGAGGGATGAGTGGCTTGTGAATCTTGGGCTGTCCAAAGAGGATGGGTGATTTGGCTGACGAAGATCTGAGTTGGAAGTAGAGTGCCTTGGGTAGTGCGTCGGATCTGTGTAGGGTCAACAGTTGTTGGTTGATCTTCCTTTCGTTGGCTAGGGTTGGGTCCCTCTTAAGTTTGGAGTAGGTTTCCTTATCTTTGAGTAGGTCGCAGATCTTATCTTCGTATGCATCTTGGTCCATGACGACGGTGGCGTTTCCCTTGTCTGCTTGTAGGATGTGGATGGATTGGTTCTTGCGGAGGTCTTGAATGGCGGAACGTTCTACTTTAGATAGGTTGGGTTTGGGTGGCTTGGCTTCGGCGAGAGCGTTGGTAATTTTGAGTCGGATGTCGTTGGCAGCAGCTTTGGAGAGGAAACGAAGCTTGGGTTCTACTTGTTGCACAATGTCGGAAAACGGTATCTTCTTGGGAGCTACGGCGAAGTTGAGTCCTAGGGATAGAACCTGGTGTTCGGCTTGGGAGAGTCTGTGCTGACTGAGGTTGACTACTGTGTCCTTAATGGGAGGGTCGTTGGTGCGGATCGGCTTGCGTGGACGTAGTTGGTCGAACTTCCTAATCTGCTTGAGTTTGGTGGTCTGAAAGGCGAGCTGGGCGGTGTGGTCGTTGAAGGACTGTACTTTGCTGAGGTCATCAGGATTGAGTTGTTGGTTGATTTTAGACTGAGATGCAGAGATAGCGGTGTTGAGATCGTGGAGTTGGTGGCGTGTGTATACGATGCGTTCTCGGGTGAGGTCAATGCCGGCTTGGTGTAGTATGCGCTGAGCCTTGGGGTGTCAACGGAGGATTTGAGTTGAAGGCCTGGAGGGATGGTGTCGGAGTCGCGGCAGCGTTTGAGGAAGGCTAGGTGGTTGGTGAGCTTGGCTGATTTAACTAGGTCGCGCTGGAGTTGTCTAGCGATGAGTTGAGTAGGCTCCCCGTAGAGCTGAATCAGATGATGTTTGAAGGTTTGCATGGTGGTATGAATAATCACGGTAGAGGTTTACGGTACACCATGTGTAAAGTCCTAGAAGGACTAAGGAAAGGGGATAGAAAATAGAAGTGAAAATAGAAAGGCGAGAAAGTGGAGATTGGAAGGAAGAGTATCTTTCAGAAGTGAGTATAGTCCTGAAAAGGACTGTAAACCAGAAAGTTGTAGATAGGATGAGAGGTTTGAGTAGAAGACTGGATTGAGTTGAAGAGTTGAGTAGAGTTGCAGAGCAGGAGCAGGAGAGTAGACTCGACGTTTCGGACAGGTTGACTGTCCGTCTTCAGGAGTGAGTGTTCGCTATGCGTGCGGCGGTCCTTATAATGGCGTGAGTGCGGACTTGGGGGAAAGCGCTGGGCCGGCGGGCTCGGCGGGTTGGCAGGTAGCTGTCGGTGGTGGCGCTCGGTTGCGTGTGGATTTATAAGGACCGCCGCACGCATAGCGAACACTCACTCCTGAAGACGGACAGTCAACCTGTCCGAAACGTCGAGTCTACTCTCCTGCTCCTGCTCTGCAACTCTACTCAACTCTTCAACTCAATCCAGTCTTCTACTCAAACCTCTCATCCTATCTACAACTTTCTGGTTTACAGTCCTTTTCAGGACTATACTCACTTCTGAAAGATACTCTTCCTTCCAATCTCCACTTTCTCGCCTTTCTATTTTCACTTCTATTTTCTATCCCCTTTCCTTAGTCCTTCTAGGACTTTACACATGGTGTACCGTAAACCTCTACCGTGAAATATGAGATAGTTATTAATTTTTAAAAGTTGAAAACAGCAAAAGTATGGCTCTCCAAATTACATGAATCGGAAATGTCTTTGTAATGACAACTTACAAATGTTCAATTATTAAATAAATGTATGATGCAGGAGGGTATTTTCTCTTTAGAGGACCTATAATAATATACTTTGAGTAGAGCCCAAATGAAGCAGGCACTTAAAAGAAAAACAGAAATCAATTATATTTCTGTAGAGGAGAAATGGGAGGTCGGGAGCGTTATCAGGGACTATACCTCACGAGCCACTGATCAAACTACCAATTTGAGATTCACATAGACTTATCACGTTTAAAACATTCGTAACTCACTTATTATTTCAAACTCTCGCAATTCTGTTTCTGTTATTTTTCTGCTTTCATGCAAATGAACTTATTACACGGGTTACATTTCCCTTTAAACGATGTCATCTGCAAGAGTAGAACTAGGGTGTCTCTTTACTTTCTGGCTATATACCTTGCGCGTAAATCATTCTCACGAATCGAACGTACTCCATGTAGTAACGTTAAACAGATCGACAAAAAACTAGAATTTGATAGCAGGAGTTGATAAAGACTTTATGTCTGGTACTGCAAATCGAGAAAACATCATTGATTGAATTATGGGTTCGATGGATTATTTCACTCGACTGCTAAGGAAACATGTATGCTTGTAAGTAAGCAACCAGAGGACTGACGGCTTTAAGACCTCTCAGAGGGCCTTGGTAATGAGGATTAATACCTTATCACATGGACTAGGGAATCATTTAATTGATATCGAACCCGGGTCCTTCCAGTTCGGAGACATTATTGCTCTACTACTGAGCCATATCACCTTATTTAATTCAGAGGCATTAAATGTGGGTTGTCTGGCTACATTACCGACAGTTTGGTCCCAAATTGTCCAACTTGCAAAAATAGGGTCTGATATCCGGATTTGCAGACAAACTATAGGCAGACTCAAATTGTCCGTTAGATATCCCCCAAAAGAAACTCAAAAGATACTTCAAAATACCTCGTGATTTTATGAAAGCCTAGAAATACCCCCAATATACCCGACATAGATTTATGGATAGAGACGTCACCCTGGTCATGACCCAAACCCCCCCCCCCCCCCCTCCGTTAATGGACGTCCCTACTCCTGTTTTACTCCTATTGTACTTGCAAAAAAAATGAGAGAGCCTGTTCTCCATAAAACTATAGATGTAATTGTACGAGGGTTTCGTTTAAAAACATGCTGCTGACAAATACAATAAAATCGTATACAAAATAAAGTAGACAAAAACGGTATTTTCCAAACATCGATGTCAATTTTTACTTTTCTCTTTGATCTTCCTCGACCCTCGATCACTTTTTTATGCTGCACAAAGTCATGTTTGACCGCATACCTTTGAAAAGGTCAATATTACACAACTTTTCCTCTTACATGACACTTACCGTTTCCTCATGTTTCCTAGCTCCTTCCGAACCCTTTTATATACCTTATTCTGTTCACATGAATTATATCATCGATTCCTATAATAATATTTATGATAATGCATTATTGGAGGTCAAATAAAACTACATAAGATTGGTATAACTCTTAACCCTTGATGAGGATGAAATAATTAATTAAGTAACTTAAAAAACAAACTGCATTCATTATTGCATTTAAATGACATGGAATGTATCTCATTGATACCTCATTACTTTATAATGCCTTAATTGATAATAGCTTTGCATATAATTACTGTAATTCGATATAAACTCGCTCTCTTTACTGCCAATTACATATAGATATATTCCATTTGGGAGAGGGTTTTTTTTCTGATAAACTTCCTCGTCCAAAAATGTTATACTGGCTTAAATATATAAGCATCGCACCATCGTTTTCATAACTACGTTTCGTCGATCAGGAGAGTTCGCAACCTTGTCGGTTACCAAAGAGAGTGCGTAGGTCGCATTCTTTCAATTACATGATCATGGTACATAACATCACCACTCATCAGTCGGCTGTGAGAGAGTCAAGTCGTGCGTTCGGGAAGGACTGTCGCTCACTGGTTGTCGTGTAGTCACCGTTATCCAATGACTTCGATGTAACTTCAAAGTTTTGCTGTTGTTAGAAAGTGCAACATTATTTCAATTTCTTCTCTCAGGTGATCAACTATAATAGGTAAGTTATTAGTTTTCAAAATCATGTTTTATGTACCGTGCTTTATGTGTTTGGTATATACCTAATCTTGTATGCGGTGACCTGCTAGAGCGGGTCAACCTCGTCCGCTTGTAACCTGTATATCTTCCAGAGCCCCGGCGAACAGATGATTGCTAACGTAAGCAGAATGTGAGAGATTTCATAACTAACGGAATGTACATTCCTAAGAGAAAGATTAAATATGAATGAAGTACTTCTGATCTCGTATAGGGACCAGCGATTTCACCGGGTCATGAAACTGACGTGTGTGATGTCTTTATGAATACAATTTTGTGCAAGAAGTATTTCTTTATGATCATATTTCTGCTTCACAAAAATCGTCCTGCATCAATCGCGGTTGAAGTTTTGGAGATGAAAAGTGTGTACAGTTCACGAATATAATGTAGAATAACAGTCTTCATTGTCTTTTCTTAGTACTTGTTAAGATTTGTTATGCAGACTTGCCCCATGACAGGTACTTTTCCTAATACGCTTTATTTTTATTGTATCTTTCTTCAATCTAAGAGCACATTTGCAAATGATTCGATTATTATGAAATTGAATGGAATTACGATTTGAGCTAAATATAATACCCTGTCATGATTGTCATCATTATACCTGGATCATTTTCTGTTTAGTAATCGATCTTTTTAATTTGACTTGTGTGTCTTTGCCTTATGCATCTTTTAGGTATTAAGTTTAATGTTTCTTATGTATGTATATTTTTGAATAGTTATGTATTATACCATCAACTAATAAGGATAGCCTCCTACAGAAACTCAGTTTATTTTGGTAATCCCCTAGCATAAGTTGATTGTTTTTTTCTTCTTGTTGTTTCTTTGAGAATTCGTTTTCTTGTATTCTTTGTTATTGTTATATACTTCTTTATGCTCCTGGAAATGAAAACAACAACAACAGAAAATTAGAGGTTGTTGTTGCTACTGTTGTTATAAAACTGACTTTAATAAATTCTCAACTTCTATATATCTTTAATTTCTTCTTTAACTTGTATATCCTTACAATATAAGTGAAGAAATGTAAATTGTAAGCCACTAAAAAAAAATCACTTTAAAATGAATGTTTTTTTCTTTTAAAAAATGTCGAGTAGAATAACCTCTCTCCAAAATAAAATATAGCTTAATCCCATAAGGACCAATATTGCCTAATGATCGACCGTATAGCACAATTAACCGTATGATGTTAACCCTTGTAAATTTGGGCTATGTAAATGAGGAAACGGCCTACCACGGTATAAAATTATCAGGAAGCAGCCAAAACTTATTGTGCTTCATTATAGTCTACAATGAATAAAAAGGATTTCCTTTAAATGTATTGTGTGGTTTCCTTCGCCTTCCTCATTTTAGGCGAATTACAAGTAAACACAATTTATTTTGAATCAACCAATTTAACTGCTGATTGAATGTCTGATATTTTTTCCCGTGAGTGTCTCTTTTCCATGCCACTTTGATTCGAAAACAGTTTCATAACAATCATTTCTCTCACATTCTTTTCCTTGCATAAAAGAAGGGGGAAAAAAAAAGTTTTTTATATATTTTCATAATCTCAACTAGACAAAATCCTCTTTCACCACAAACTGACAAAAGTATCTTTGGGAGCCAACTGGATAAACGAGAATAGGTCCAAACGCATCGAATATGATAATAGTAGGCCTATATTTACTAAGATTGTATTAGGCTTTACGCATTCCAATTGATTCTCATTGAAACTTGGGAAACCTGTCTTTGATAACACAAATAAGGAATACCAGTCATTTTATTTCGTGCATTTGTGACTCATCGAGTGAGAGTTAGTTCTTAACACGTGTATAAGAATGTCAATAATGACAAACATCGCTGTGGTTGTGAAACTGAATCTAATTTAAAGTTCAACTCTCGACCAAACCTTATTTCGAGATTAAAACAATGATGCTACCGTTTTTATCAACTTACGGGACCCAGTTAGAATCGGCCGCATAGAATAGTTGTGGTATACTACAGGGCTTGGGGGTCGCCGCCCACGGAAGAAATAAAGACACAATAAATAAGATCTTGAGATTTTGGTCTTTAATTGACACGAGAGAAAATGTGTTCGTGCTGAGATAGATTGTTCTGACAAACAACCTTTCAACTCTTTTCACAATGAACGTGAATGAAGGTTTTAAATGGGTCAGGTCGGATCACTGTCGTCTGCGGGATGTCTGTATCCATGGCAACGCATTGTTTCGGCGGGAAGTCAGCTCTGGTACAGTCGAGTTCATTTCCAATTATGCATCGATCACCGTAACAATCACAGATTTATCATTAATTGGTTTTAAAAATTATATTCAAAGTTCAGATTGTTAAACACTAAATATTTGATAGCGAGCTAACGGTGTCGATTGATTGTCATGATTCATTATCGAGAATTTCTATAAATCTAGATGAACGAGGTGGGAGGGACAAGGGAGCTGCGGCATCCTCCCACCCCCCCCCCCCACCCCCCATTATCCCTCCCAGGACATTTAAACAAAATCAATATTGGGACAACCACCCGGGCATCCGAGTATAAGGATATTTGGGCAGGAGACGCCTTAATATGTCAATATCTCACCCGTGTAGTTTTCACGACAAATGATTTAAGTGTCAAATTTATTTAGTGTTTATTTATAAACCGAAGAGTTTAGAAATCAATGTGATATATGTGTAGAATCTTCTAGACTTAGATATTATCAGTTGAGGAGAGGAGAGCTAAATATTCAAATGGATCATTCGCTGGAAAGTGAATGAACTATTCAATCAAAATATTGATGCCTTACAAAATTATGTTTATTTAGCACAAAAAGGAGTCATAACACCCGTAGTATGAACAGGAAATACCATGAGACATCTGCTTACAAAGTAATCAAAACCCAGTTGCTATTTCCTCTCATCTTCCTGGCAATACTTATACGTTATACAGGTGCCTTAATTAATCTAACGGTATAGGCTAATAGGACGCGTAATTAAATAAACTGATGTAGTTTTACCATGCATAGGCCTATATGATTATAAGTTTGTTTTGCACGATGTGTAGGGAAAAGTAAATATTACAATCAAATTTGTCATTAACTTGACAAGGACACCATCCTGACCTGGTTATTCTTTCTCAGAAACTCTAAATCAAAGTCTAGACCAGCATTTTTCAACCTTATTTTTTCAGACGCGGCTTCCTTTCCATAAATAAAAAGTTTTGCGTCACCCCAATCCAAAATTTATCAGAGACTATTACTTGTGCATCACTCTGAAACTTGCCAAGTGCCATGTACACACCTATATACGGGCACTATAACCAGAAACCTCGCTGTCAAATAAAATGATATTCGAGCACCTCGTTGTCAAACTATGGAGGTATTTAGACACTTCGATGCCTGAAATAATCTTGTTTCTAAACGAAGCGAGCGAGGTATAAATATACTTTTTTATCTTTAGATGTTATTACCTAATGAAATTACATACTCTAGTGGTTTCCAATATTTGATGTTTCACGAAATCGAAGTTATTCCAAAATATTTTTTGGTAATGTGTTACTTAATGAATTTCTTTCTCGGCACCACTAGAGATGTCTTGCGGCCGCGGCACCCATGGTGAAAAAAAAACACTGGTCTAGACTGTCAGGTGGCTATACAGTGGACACTTAAATTAGTAGCTTCATGTTATGTTTCTCAGTATTCCTTGGTACTTGATTCATTTTTGACGCCATACATCACTAAGCGGTGTTGAATATACCCCATGCCGGTATGTACCACAGCTTTTGTTTCATTCAGTAGAGCATACCTTTGTTATAACACTAACCCCATGTGGTATTTGCAGTGTAGGTTTATATTTATACTAAATAATGTTTGTTATCTTTTTAATCTTTGTCTCAAGACACCCACGGATGAAGTGAATACATATATATATATACAAATGCATCATTTGTCTAGACGCCTACAATAACACTTGAAAGCACCCCCGCCCCCCCCCCCCCCCCCGTTTCTGAACCCCATCTAAAAAATCATCCGTCTGGCCATGCCTTTTTTGGTCTAGACATGATATGAGTAGGCGGTATATAACCGACAACGTGTAACGATCGCGCCCTCCCTTGACCCGGAAATAATAAAGAAGATAATAAAGGAAGTTCAAGAGTTATAAAGAAGACTGCCACTCGCGCACGTACACCACGATTGATGATAGAATACCAATCATACGACCATTATCAATAGCACTGAGAAATAAACCAGGTTCCAGTAGCGTTTCTAGAGGGTGGCTTGGAGGCTCAAGCCGCACCCCCTAAATAAAATAATCTTCAAGCACCCCCCCCCCCCCACACGAATCGAGAAGCACAAGTAGTAATAAATTGAAGAACCCTGAGCCCCTTCCAAGCCCCCCCCCCCCCCCCGAAAATGTTTTTTTAGAAGCGCTTCTTTGAGGTTCCGATTATTACAAACTCATTACAGCATGTTCATTGAGAGTATAATAGAGAAGACACATCTACCCCCACCCAGAAACAAGCTAGAGCTTTAGAGCTCGAGGCTCGAGCTATATACATCGAGTTGCAACATCATGAACGTTGGCAAGTGTTATTAAACACTGTCTCTCCACTTACAAGTTAATATAAGAATAGAATAAATAAATAAATGAACAACTGTTTACCCCTCAAAATCTTTTCAAACCGAATTTCTCTGTCGCAGCAGTTTGAATCGCGACAGTCTAAATCCACCCACCTACGGAAAGTGCCATCTCAATATTAAGTTTGGCCAACTTATTTTCAGTCGGTCAGAACATGGCGTATGTTCTGTTCATTGGCGCTTGCCTATATTGTAACCAATTATATACCTCACTTAAGAAATCCAGCCATCTGATTGGTCGAATTGCATTCATAAACTTCAACTGTTCCTGTAAAATTCTCGGTAACCATGCATAAAACATTTCAATATTTTTAATAACCATGGTTATTAAAAACAGTTGGTCAGCCTCCATGGTTACCCCATAGGTTTACATGTTAAAAAATGGTTTGAGCGATGGAGGATGCCGTATGTGTGCGAAGGATTGGTCGGTAATTTCAATACAATTGAATCTCGATCGATCTTACCGACAATTTTATCTTGCATTGTTGACATGAAGACGAAAATAAACTTCCAAAAACAAAAAAAACAACATCTGCCGATAGATCTTGATCTAAGTTCGTGCCAATATGCATTGCAAAAGTAAAAGAAGAGTCCGTATATGGAGCTTTTGCGAAGCATTCATCACACGCGAAGCCGGTTTCAATCCATTTTAATGTATATATTGGAGAAAACTGCCAAGCATGTTAACGGCGGGCCATAGCCGAGTGGTCTAAGCGTTGGTTTTCGGTACACCTTTTGTTGTACGCAAGGGTTCGAATCCCGTCTTCGACAAAATGATAAATATTTTTAATTTTTAATTTTTTAGTCTATTTTTTTTCGGCATATAAAAGTATTAATGACTGCTTTAATATTCGAGAAATAGTTGTTTTCATACGCTCTCGGGAAGGTTACAATTGGGCTATTCCCCTCGGCAAGCCTCGGGGAATAGCACAATTCTAACCTTCCCTTGAGCGTAATAAAACAACTATTTCTCTCAAAGCAGTCATTAATACTATACTAGAGCCCGGTTGGCTAAACTATGTATGATTTTTTAAGGGGGGAGTGGGCACGCCGATCTTGGTCGGAAAACAAAATGCGAATTTACAAGGCTACTGGTTACTGGAAGAGTGCTGGAAGGGGTCTATGCGTCTTATTTTTAGTCCCTTGTCCCTTTTTTTCACCTCACTTTTTTAACACTTCATTGGGGGCGCTTGCCCCCGTGCCCTCTGTAGCTTAGTCACTGAATTGCGATCACGATGTCAAAGTCGGCGGCAAATGAAAAAGCACATGACCTTTGTCCTCGTACGACTTCTTAAAGGTTTGTTTTGGCTCCCAAGGGTCATCTGGTTCGGTAACAGGCCTTGAAATTGGTTTCATAAATGACCGCAACATAGGTCAAGTTGCTTGACCTGGTTACCTTGTATAGCAGTATGAGGTGATATGAAGTTACTAAAGAGAATAGTGATCAGATGGGTGTGAAGCAGGTGTGATATACTTATTTGATTTTGTTTTATTGCCTCCGTCGTGATAAAATGGTGTTATAATTGGTCACGTTCACTCTCAATATGCACTCTACCATCTCCCCTCCTTCTGCTTTTCTCGATATTTTTCCATCACTCTTTTGTATAATAGAATGCATAGAATGATAGGAATAAAAAGATTAATCATGTATTTCTACATTTAGAGGTATTATTCCTTTATAAGCATACTGTGCCGTCGATGTCGAAGTCAGGAAATGGTTTCAGCATTATAAATCATGACTATATTATTATCATCCCTCGCAATTCTCGACTATATAAAATAGTTTTACAAAACGATCTTACCACCAAATATTTTAAAAAACAACCTCGAGGTTTGAGAGTTTTTTGTTTATGGTAACCCGGAAACTTGAGATTTTTGAGCGCATTGTAAACTTTGTCGAGTTTAGCCATTGTCAATTTGTCAATGCCTGCATGCCCCCAATTTTTAATAAGTCGGATTCATATTTTGATGGTAGTTTCTTGGTCGATGATCTATATTCGTATCATGACATTTACCGCTACTGTACTACCCTTAGACATTAAACATGCATCCTCGACTAGCTCAATCAATCTCCATCCACCCTGTGCCCTGTTCCATTAAACTTGTTATCAATAACATGATGTCACAGATCTGTTACAAATCTGCTCGTAAGCGATCAAACAGTGTCGTACAAAATGAAGGTAAGGATTCCAGTAGCTTGTTAGTAGTAACAAGATTTATGAAGCAGTGCCCAGGTGGCCAGGTATACCTACCGACATCTTCCATACACCCTAAACTGCCGTCACTTGACTTGCTCCATACACTAACCTTCCACTATAATTACCATCCCTGGTTGAACCCTTTAAAAATATTGAGCGTATATTGTTATTTTGGCTTTTGAAAAGAGAGATTTGTGAATGTTATAGTTGTTAAATGTAGAAACTTGAAAAACTAAATGTTATTTGGTTCTCTTCTATTTTCAGAATACATCATGCAGTTCTCAGTGGGCCTTTTTGTTCAGTACTTCATCTTCATTTTGATTACGTGTGGCCATGGCCTCCCTAGCAATAATGAGACCAACACCAACAACCCTACAGAATCCACACCGATAGAGCCTACCACAATAGCTGCAACCACTACCACAACTTCAAAACCCACCACTGCGAAACAAGAGGAGACGACAACGCAACCACCAAAGACAACGCAACCCACGACGGTGCAGCCAACGACGACGCAACCCACGACAACGCCCACGACCTTCCCTCCGACGACAGGCGAGCCGACCACGAGGCCTCCAGCTAAGATCCGTGCCAGGTTAGCCGATGGCATGCACCCGTGGGAGGGGAGAGTAGAAGTGTCCATGCATGGTGGATCATGGGGGACTGTCTGTGATGATGGTTTTAACATGAATGCTGCTAACGTTGTCTGCAAGATGGTGGGATATAAGAAAGCCGTCCAGTACTTCTTTGGAAGCAGCCAATTCGGACGCGGGCCAGGTACGCCCATAGTGCACTGATTTTTAAGTATAAATAATGTTTATATACAAACACCAATGGGCAGATGTTATTTATAAATTGTGATATAGTAACTGGCAGTATTTCTGAGAGCTTAAAAGAATGCATGAGCTCATAAATGCGCTATTAATTTCTTGCTCGCAATACATCCAACCCATCATCCACAAAAGATAGATTTATCCTACCTCCAGCCATCCATCTACAGGAAAGGATGTTGTCGGGACTAACTTTCCATAGGATGCATATTGTAATTCGTAGATGGCAAACGTCCCTTCCGGGAATCGAAGAAAGAGGAGAAGAAGATGAAGAAGAAGAAGAAGAAGAATGAGAAGAAGAAGAAGAATGAGAAGAAGAAGAAGAAGAAGAATGAGAAGAAGAAGAAGAAGAAGAAGATGAAGAAGAAGAAGAAGAAGAAGAAGAAGGAGAAGAAGAAGAAGAAGAAGAAGAAGAAGAAGAAAGAGAATGATAAGTAGAAGGACAAGAATAAGAACGAAGGAGAAGAAGAACGAAGAAGAAGGAGAAGAAGAAGAAAAAGAAAAGGAAGGGGAAGGAGAAAGGAAGGACAAATTTTAGACAGAAGAAGAAGAAAAAAATTTACAACAAGTTTTGCTTGTGTTAGAGACAACGGCAGTAGTAGTTCTATGTTTCTCATGCATTCTAAAGCCATAATATGATGCTGTGTCTCTCTATGTCAGGTCGTATTTTACTAGACGAGGTAGAATGCTTAGGCACAGAGAAGAACCTCTTAGCATGTGAGCACAACCCAATCGGAGTCACTGACTGTTCGCACTCTGAAGATGTGGGAATTAGATGCATTGACGTGGTTAGGAAAGTCACTCCCCCTGAAAAGGTGAGTATCTCCATGGACCCTAGGGTATTATCAATGTCTTTTGCAGATCTTATCGTCCCAAGACAGAGCCCTCCATTACTACGTTGTCAATGTACTTGCGATCATGTTTGCATCTAGGTACGTTAAATTTACATGTACTGTACATGATTTAGTAGGTGCGTTTCAAGAGAGAAGTTGTCTTGTGTGTTGTACATGTATCTGACCTCTCTGCTTCAAGATGTAAATCCATTTTTCCTAGACATTGCTACTTGTTTTAATTTGAAATAAAAGTATGCGGCTTCCATTCATATCCGGGCTTTGGCTTCTAGAGGGAACATTCGAACCTTCTCCGATCGGTGACTATGCGCAAAGAATATATCCTTACAATGGGGAATGGGGGAGAGACAAAAGAGGGGTTTCCCCCCAAAAGGTACATTTTTAGAAGAAATGCGATTTATTGTCTTGTCAATGGGAATAAGTAGAATATATAGCTTTGTTTAATATTGCTATATCATAATTATGTGCACTATCAATTTTTTTATATACGCAAAATAATAATGGAAGGTTTCACTGCTATTTTGATGGGTGTTTTACCAAAATAGGATACCATCAAATTTAATTCAAATATGTTTCTCTGAAACGAAAACAATACACATTTCTAATAATACTAGGAGAAAAGAAACTTTTCGTTGAACTTAGTATTATTTGAAACGAATCGCAACCATGAATACCATTACAAAACTAGCATTTACAAATTTCGTTTTGCAGAAGCTGAAGCAGTATAAATTTCGCCTGGTGGGAGACCCGACCCCTAAGCCTCAGTCCGAGGGCGTGGTCGAGGTGATGATGACGGGTAAATGGCGGACGATCTGTTCAGATGGATGGGACATGGAAGACGCACGTGTTCTATGCGGCAGTCTTGGATTCAAAGAAGCTACCAGTGTTGAACCTAACAGGAAAAAGTAGGTGTTATCGATGCTATATATTCAGACATTGGCTTTATTATCACAGAGGCGGATCCATGATTGTCACAAGGAGTGGGGTGCTGTTTCCCCCGACATAATTTTTTTTAGAGAATATAATTTCAGGAATTTTTCGTGGAATTTTGATTTTGTCACAAGGGGGGCTAGGGGCTTTGAACTTTCGCCCCAAAATATAAAAATTCGGTTCTAACAAACTCTATGGTCCGACTTCACAAAGGAGGTTTGTCGATAAACCTAGGTTTATGTGCGTCATATTACGCGTTTTGACGTGTTTCAAACCAAGGTTTGTCTGAACCTTGGTCTGAAACGCAAACCTAGGCTGTCGACAAACCTCCTTTGTGAATTCGGGCCTATATGGCTTTCTTTTCGTTTTCTCAAGGGTTAGGGTGATATGCCAATTTGTGGGCAATTTTTGTGTGGGGGTGTGTGAATTTGTGTTCTTGTGTGCTTTTTGGAGATTTATATATTTATGTGTAATCAATTTATGATTTCTTTTGCAGTAAATCCAGGCAACGAAAGAAGTCTATAGTCGCATCAAATTTCGAATGCACGGGCAACGAGCACAACGTGAGCGATTGCGAACGAACTCTTCTGAAGTCACATAAGGACTGTTTATCCAAACGAGCAGCTGAAGCGAAATGTGAACGGGGCCCTTTCGTCATGGATGCAGATAAACCTTACTCGCCGCCTGTAAGTAGTCTTAAAGAGCATAATATTCTATTCGTAAAAAGCAAATAAACATATTTCTTGTAATTCTATATACCGAACCTCAAGACACAATCACTTATTCATGCTCTTTAAAAACGGCTGACTAGCGGTATCCAATATTTAGGTAGCCTGCAACCGGATATATTTTAAAGATATAATATATAATATAATAATATATTATTGATTCATTTATTTTCCAATTTTGTTGAATATGAAAGGCATGATGGTGGTTTATGTGTCCAGTCACTCAGGAAAGTAAGCTCTCGAGTTATCCGTTTAAGGGCCTATCTCACTGAGCAGCGAATGCTTGCGAACGTTGCGAATTTGGATTCGCCAACTTTTCTGACGAATGTTGGCGAAAATCAGCGACATTAAGTGACGTTTAGCGACAATTAGCAACATTTGAGCGAATGTCTCCGAAAGTGTTTGCGAAAGGCAGTTGGCGACTATTAGAGACTGTAAACAAATGTTAGCGACAACTTTTGCGAAGACTAGCAACTATTTGCCAATCCTTTGCCACTATTTGTGAACGTTTGAGACCTTTTGCTAACTACTGGTACTCAATGGGTCGATTTTATAAAGGAACCATATGGTAACGTGGTCGCTAGCTTTGGCGAAACACAGAGAACTGACGAAAACAAAGAGCAAAACCGTTTAACAACCGTTTGCAAAGGCTTACGACTGTTTTGCAAACGCCTGCAACTGTTTGCGGAAAAATAAATTAGCAAAGAAATTTTGAACATGTTCAAAATTTCTTTGCGACAAGAAAAACTGTTTACAACAAAGAAAACTGTTTGCGATCTTTCTTGCAACCTTTTACAACATTTTACAAACTCTGGCGAAACCCCAAATTCGCTACGTTCGCAAGCATTCGCCGCTCAGTGAGATAGGCCCTTTAGATCTTACTTAGAAATACATGTACGTATATCACCAGGTGGCACTGAATGCTTGTAATATAATATACGACAGTTATATATTTCTCACCATACTCATTCAATAAATTAAACATTGGAAAGCTTACACCAAGATATTATCTATTTACTTTTGTTTGATTTTTCCAGACAACCAACCTGACAGGTCAAACAAAATGATGGTTTACCGTATGGATCATAATATCCGTGCTTTTGAAAGACATTTAGTTATTAATACATTTGGCTCCAAGCTTAGAAACTACAGGTAATATACACGATGACGTACGTGAAACATGTGCCATTGCATTGATTACTTTCACTAAGTCTGTCTTCTTCTTTTTGTACACCAGTGGTCTGATGTCCGCTTGAAGGCCGGTGCTGCATTTGGTGAGGGCCGTTTGGAAGTGTTTCATGCTGGTCGTTGGGGGACGGTGTGCGGTGAGGACTTTGATAAAGTTGCTGCTAGTGTAGTGTGTCGAAAACTTGGCTTTGGAACGGCAGAGACAGTACTGGAGAACGCCTCAGCATTTGGTCAAGGTACGTAGAAACTTCCATGGGACACGTTTACAAAGGTTTTCTGAAAGTCAATTTGGGCAATGCCGATAGCAATGTCCATCATCTTTCAAAATGTGTGAACATTACAACAACATATTTCAAAATCCGAATTTCTAGCGGATATACAATAAGGCAATCAACAATAATAATAGGTCAATTTATAAAGCGCAGTTACTATATGAATATACTCTACTGTGCTTAATACAAGGTCTCATATTATTACCCCGGCTGTAGCTGAGCTGCCGTAAAAAGGCGCTAAAGCATTTCAAGGAATTAAATTCCTGCCAGGTACCCATTTACATCACCTGGGTTGAGTGTAGCAAATGTAGATCAATGTCTTGCCAAAGTTGATTTTTAGAAAGTTATTACGATCGATTTATTGTAAGAAAAGAAATGAAAGGACGTCCTAACGAAGTGACATCCCCAAAACCCTGCTCTACAGTACAAAATACGTGATAAGGGGTTGTCGGGACATTTAGAAATCACAGGACTCGATCTTGATCCTGGTCAAATTTTAGAATCTGATGAAAGTCCTGATGTGTAGAGACGTGCTTGGTAAAAAAATGTGTGTCATCTCCCTTCTTTTAGAGTATGGTTTTGAGCTTTGTATGCTTTTCTAAATCATTTATGGATGATTCAATTATTATTGCATAAGCAATAACTCAGCCCATTGACCTTTTTGTCGCTTGCCAAGCTTGAACAATTATTACATTACATTGTACAAGTAATAGAAACTATGGTCATAAACCACCCTGCATCTATTTGATCGTGTCCGCATATGGCAGCAGGTTTAAACAACATCCTGCAATTGATTCGCACGTTTTCTTACGATTCTGCTTGGATGTCTTGCATCCTCATCATAAACGTAATTCCTTTTTACCCGCCTGGTCACTATCTTAATGATAACAAATTTGTGTCATAGAGATTCTCATAAATATCATCCTTTTTTTTAAATATTGGTCGTATTTTCAGATCTTATCATCTCAGAAAGTTACAAACTAAGATGTTTACCTGTTTTATAATCAAAATCATTCATTTCAAATGTTATGAATGTGGAATTTTGTTTTTCTGTCTTACCAGGTATTGGGCCTATCTGGCTGTGGGAGGTGGACTGCAAAGGAACAGAAGCCTCAATCATGGAATGTGGTCATGGAGCTTATAACAGGAGTAAATGCGACCATTCGCAAGATGTCGGAATCAAGTGCAATATACCAGACCTTGGAGTCAAAGAAGATGTACGTAGGTCAACAAGCTAAACTTTATCGTCATCGTACTATTTTGTGATACTTTTGAATGGTACCGAGGAGAAATAGCCGGTAGAAAGAAGAGAAATATGCGATTAAATTCTTTTGCTCAAGAGCAGGAGAATTTTCTGTCTATCGGTGCGACTCAATGAAACGGCCACTATGAATGAGTTTTTTTGTTGGTTTTATTACTCCTTTGTAGCAATTTAATTTTTCTGTCAGATTGAAGGAATACAATACGATATTATGATCTAACTCTAGACAAAGATTCTTTGATGTCTAGGAAACATAGTTAATAAACAGCTCAAATGTTATCGTGAATATTTGCATGTTAGTATGCAATTGTTTTGGTATTTGCATCAAACGAAACACATTCAATCAAACTAGATCATTGTCGTGCACGTAAAAAAATAGGATAGTGAATGAAAAAGACGAACCATTGAGTATAACGTTCTGTAGTGAATCGAGCGGCGCTGTGGCTTAGTTGGTAAAGCGCCTGTCTAGTAAACAGGAGATCCCCGGTTCAAATCCGGGCAGTGCCTTTTGTGGGTCAGCATTCCCAGGTGTGTGTGTGTGGTGCAAAAGCATTTCATTCACCTGCTATCAACCTTTGTCAGAACGCAAATTGCATGGATAAATCGGTGCTCTGCTGGGGTAAAGGTTTTGCCTATTGATTTTTCAACTCTTAAATTGAAATATTTTTAAATTAATGAGTTACAATTGATCCCTTGCTATATATTTTTCACCAAATATTATTTTGTTTTACTTTGTATATTTCATTCAAACAAATCAAGAAAATCACAAATTTACAAGATTCGATAAAGTGAGGAAAAAGACTACAAAATACAACAAAAACATGAATATAGTTTTGTTTAAAGGCAGAGGGTGTATAAACAGAAATACAAGGCGTCAATGTATTTACAGATATATAGAAACTGAATGTAAGAGGGGAAATACCCCGATGACAAAAGCCACGCCCCAAGCAGACCAAGAGCCCGAAGTCTTGTCAAACCAGAAAAAGGAGAGATGGGGCGGACTCGGATCGATATCAAAACACCACATCTATCTTACTCGTTCAAAACTTTCAAATCAAATAACAGAAAAAATATCACAAAATTCGCACAAAAACATTTTCTAATACAGTGAAGACTCGTATAATAAAGATGATAATAATAAAAAAGGTAATAATATTCCGCTTTTATATAGCGCCCAATACATCGATACAACGATGTGCCTAAGCGCTTTACATATTATTACCCCGGTCATCGGATTCAGGCTTACCCGCACACAATGTATGCACATTTTCCACTCCCTGGAGAGCATTACAGCCAGTAAGTACGGTAGAATGAAAATAATAAGTAACATTTCATACACAAATTACGCAGTTTTTTCATCAACCTTCAACAATGTTACCGAGTCACTTTAAGGAAAATAAATCAAAATATTTAAACAGCGTTTATTTTTCTAAATCCTTTTATAGATAATAATAATAATAATAATAATAATAATAATATTGAATATTTATATAGCGCACATATCCACCTTGCAAGGTGCTCAAAGCGCTCCAATATTACCCCGGTTCTGGTAGGCTACCGATTTCGGTGCTCACAGCATTCAAGGAATTCCTTTCTACCGGTCCCCATTTACTTCACCTGGGTGGAGTGTGGCAAATGTAGATCAATGTCTTGCCAAAGGACATTAGTGCCGCGGCGGGATTCGAACCGTGGACCTTGTGATCGACAGTCCGGCGACGTATCCATAATGGTTTGGGATCTTGATTATTACAATAACTCTGTACCTCTATCAGTCTGCTAATAATTATGTCTTATTTCACCGTCTTCCTTTTTTCCATATAGATTCGTCTTGTACAAGGTCGTTTCGACACGGAAGGGAGGGTTCTAATAAATTACGAGGGCCAATGGGGTCACCCGTGCGGAGGAGACTCATGGGATATGTTTGATGCCAAGGTAGCATGTAGACAGCTAGGCTTGGGATATGCTCATCAACCTATGAGGGTACGTATTTTTCAAAATTCAGTTTAGATCATTCCCCTTTATGCTTTATTGTGATAATAATTTGGTGGAATACTACGTAAAAAGTTTCATTGATATTAAACTTTTATTTTTGGAAAGGGCATAATCACTTTTGTTTGATGTTTTAAATCCATTATAGTTAAGATAATCGCAATTTGCAGTAAAATCTGACATGCTGAATCTTTCTTCATACCTCACTTTAATTAATTGTACGACAAATTGAAACGCAAAATTGGTGGCAGCGGTGGGATTGGGTGTTATCGTTAACCGTTCACAGTAACTGTGTGCAGAAATGTTACTCCAATTATTTTGCTTCATATTTGGCCGACAAAGAACCGTGTAAAGATGGCTCTGGGGACAAGTCATCTATAGTTTTATACTGTACACATTGAGGGCTATTGGAGTGCAGCTGAGACGAATTTGTTTTGTTTTGGGTTTTGTTGGTTGTTCCAAATATAACATATATCATTGTAGTGTTGGAAATGTTGCCATGTTGCACATTATTGCAGAGATAATAAAATCGTCGTCATTGAGTCTTCGATCTGATACTATTGAATTATTAATAATTAATATGATAAAGGTTTAGTAGTCTAGTGTCCTATGTATCCGATGGTTCGTGGTTCGAACCCAAAACGGGACAGTAACATCCTTTGGAACGCAATCAATCTACATTCCCTCTTCCCTATATGAGAGAATGGGTACCTGTGAGGAATACCGAAAGCTAATGTGACTGCTTTTGCCATTGCTCTGGTGTAATATGGTAGAATATTACTCTCTAGGAAAAAAATATGGTGCACACTAATATGTATGTGTATGGAGGGGGTGGCTTTGAAACCAGTGAGCAGGGGTATATTACGAATTACACTCTACATCGTACTGAAGAATTTACTTACTAATGCTAGACAATATTGTTATTGACAGAGTACTCGTTTCATGGGCCGATCGGGTTATCCTATCCTCATGCTGGATGTGAACTGTACGGGAAATGAGCGAACACTTTCTGAATGCCCACACGTGAGGGGTGATAATGGAACCTGCATGGCTGACTATAAAGCTGGAATTCTGTGTGCAGGAGGTAAGGATGACCACGTGTGTGACGATCCCGCATGGAATGTCTTAATTTCCCTGTCGTAACACCAATGTCCTTTAGCAATACATTAATCTATGTTTGCCACACTCCACCCAGGTGAGGTAAACGGGTACCTCGCAGGGATTAATTTCTGAAAATGTTCGAGCGCCGATAAAATTATGGCAGCCGTAATAAAGCCGGGGTAATGAAAATGGAGCGCCATGAGCGCCATACAAGACTCCACTATTATTATTATTATGATTATTAGTGTTATTGTTATTATCATTAACGTTATTATTATTATTATCGTTATTTTTCTTATTATTATCACTAATCATCATCCCACAAGCGTCACTGTTTTTATTGACGATCCTGTGGGTCATTGAATATAAGGATGAAGCCTTTTAGAATACACAAATGATTATGATTATGATGCCTGAAGACACTAGATGATGACGATGAGGTTCGTTATGGTGATTACGGTGGTGATGACGATCAATGAATAAACGGTGGACGAGAAAGATGAAGATGCCAATGAGCGTATTAAAGTGTATTATGAGTATATTAAAATGAAGGTATGAGGTAGATTGTTAAAAGTGAACAATAAAAGTAAAGCTATGCAGAACACACAGGTCCTTTTTTACCTTCACGAAGAATTATATAAGAACGATGGTTTCATGCTTTGCGTAACATAATCTTATTATATTAATGCTATATATTGGCATTATGGGCACTTTTATTCTTGTATAAAAGCCGCAACTGTTATTGCCCTAATCGATACTTGAAAAAGTTTGACTTGTTAAATGGCGGAAAGAAGATTAAGTAAATTGGCAAATAAGTAGATACCATAGAGGAAATTTAGTACCATTTCTTGTTGTCCTTCTTCCAGTTCTTCCCGACGTACTTATGGATGTTCATGTACTTCAGTCATCCATCTACATGCAAGATTGGCCAATGTATATGCTGCAATGTGCTGCTGAGGAGAACTGTCTTTCATCTGAAAGTCATGTTCGAGGAGCTCGTCGTCTGCTAAGGTTTGCTAGTGCTATCATGAATAGAGGTACTGAGGAGTTTCGTCCTGTGCTAGGAAGATCAAGCTGGGAATGGCATGCGTGTCATAGGTAGATCTCTTCACTTTCCATCGTCACCCTTACCTAGTCTTTCTATTCATTATCAGTTTTATTCCTCTGTTTGATGGTGGTGGTGGTTATTTTACCTGACTGCTAAGAAATCATAAATACTTTTTAGTAAGCAACCAGACGGCTGACGGCTTTAGGTCCTCTCCGAGGGACCTGGTAATGAGGATTAATGCCTTACCAAAGGGCACTAGCGCATCGTCTAGGTTTCGAACCTGGGTCACCGGATTAAGAGACCACTGCTCTATTGAATGAGCTATCGCGCCTCCTCAATGGCGCCTCCTTAATGGTACTTGTCTTCTTCAACAACAAAAATCTTTACTTTTCTTTTCGTTTTCCTTTATTTATTTTTTTAATCTTAATACCCGTCAACATCTCCAGTGCCTTGGGTCAACCAAAATACTTTCAAAACGCGTTTATGTGAATAGACATTTGGATTTTTTTCCCAAACTTTTTTGTGATTCTCTTATCACAGTAGAGGAAAAATGACATGAATATCAGTTACGGATATAATATCTCTTTTGCTTGCTTTTCCTTGATGAAAATAATTCATGAAAACTCCTTTTTCCCCTCTCTCTCTCTCTCTATTCAGGCATTATCATAGTATGGACGTTTTCTCCACTTACGATTTGCTTGACGCCGATGGTGTGCGCGTGGCCGAGGGACACAAAGCGAGTTTCTGCCTTGAAGACGTCTATTGCGACAGCGGTGCGCAGAAGGTTTACAGCTGTGACGCGGGCACACAAGGAATATCAGTCAACTGCGTCGATATATATCGTAATGATATCGACTGTCAGTGGATCGATGTCACCGGGGTTCCCCAAGGATCGTATGTACTACGGGTAAGCAAGCACTTTCTCTCCCACATTTAATGTTCTGTTTTTAATATTTTAGTTCTTATAGTGAAATGCATTTTAAAAGAAATATTATTGAAGAGGGATGTTTCGATATTAAGGAAACACAAATTTACAAATAGTGCTGGAAATCATATTTACTGAAAAAGGATAAATCCCATTTGTATATGCACGTATAGGCCAGGAATACTAAGTTGTTTGTTTTTCTTTGCTCTATTAATAATAGTAATAGTTAATAATAGTTCGTTTTTATATAGGTGCTTTCCAGGACCGAAGGCCCTCTAAAAGTGCCTTTCAGACATATACAGATATTATTACTCTATTAATAATAGTAATAGTTAATAATAGTTCGTTTTTATATAGGTGCTTTCCAGGACCGAAGGCCCTCTAAAAGTGCCTTTCAGACATATACAGATATCCACTTTTCACCAACATCCTTCGGCACGTAGTTAATCTCACCCTTGCTTTGCGATCATCCTTCAAAATGAAGAGAATGAAAAGACAAAGTCTTAAATATTCACCTAGCTTGTCGAGTTTTTCATTCATCTATTTCATTCATTCAGGTCGATGTAAATCCAAATCATATCGTCGGGGAGACGGATTTCACCAACAATGAAGTCCTGTGTGATGTAATGTTGACCTACAGAGTACGCATTCAAAACTGCCGATACGGTAAGACTCAGTAAATAGTCATGTCATTATTACCCTTTGAACGTTATCAAGTAAATAAGATAGATATAAAGTCGTATTTTTCGAATAAAAGTAAGGCGAGCCGCGAACGTAATATTAGGTTTAATACATTAATAATACAGTTTGGTTTTTTTAGTATGGGATTGCATAGTTTTGCATAGGTTATAACTTTAAACTGAACTACATGTGTTTCAAGAAGTATTTTCAGACGTATATTTACGACGCATGTTACATGTAGTTAGTAACTTCGTCTATAACATATCTCGTCCGTGTCTGGTTGCTTTACCTTTTTAACAAATTTAGCTATTTTTCTTCAATAGTAGTGAACCTATAGTTATTAAGCAGAAACCATAGGGGAAGACTTGGGGCCGGGGGTAGTCATCATCAGAAGTGTGTTGAATAGCCCAATCTGGAATTCCGGTAGGAACATAATTTTGATCTAAGTATATAAATTTTGAAGATAGATAGGAATAGATCAATTATGCAAAGTTGTATGCGAATAATTGATTTTCCCCAACTTCTCTTGATTAATTTCAGCTGATGACTCATAACCTTCTAAGCGACACTTCTTGACCAGAATGGACCAAAGCATATCACCAAACAATCAATCAATCAGCTGAACTGAATCAAGCAACCTGATTATTATTGTAATACTATGGAGGCTGTAAATACCAAATCATAAATCTGCTATATCCTCGCTTTTTGTATCATCAAAAATATGTACAGTGTAGAAATATTGTAAAAATGTTTTAATCTTGCTACTGTAAAAATGAAGGTATGGATATTGATTCGTTGCCGTCTGTGCATAGAGCCGATTTGTTGATATTCAGTAGATCATATACAGCATATATATATAAAACACACCCCAACAAAATGCATACCCCGGCCTAGCAAAGTTATATTACTTTATTCCGTAACTTGGCATGATCAAATCAATGAGGATATCGATCAGTGAAATGTTCAAATTCAATTCATTTTTTTTTTTTTTTTTTGTTAACGTAAGTTTGTCATATTGACATCGATTATTTAGATTATTTGACTTATCATGGCCGAATACGTTTGCTGAATAAGCTGTGCATCATTTCCAATCCTATATTACATTAGAATTCTATACACCATGGGCTATCACCCCGGACAGAAACGCCGTATATTTTTCTAAGGATGCAGTTGTCTGGGGAGTATTTCCTGTAGGCAATAGTAATGTTTTAAATGTATAGGGTAGTTGCCCGAGTAGTTGTCCAGACAGTGGGCGGTTGTCATAATAGATAAATCTTCTAGGTGGATGGTTGTCTGTGACAGTACTCCAGGAGTCTTCTTTCGGTTGTTGTTACATAATATCTACCTCGCACCTTTCACAATTGGCTTGATTCCTCTTGACCTGGACTTATGAACTCGATACTACTTTGGGAAGCAAAACTATATCGTTTTATTTTTCAAAGTAAATTGTTTTCTTGGTTTTGTGAACATGTGTTACAAACCCTGTTCTTGCATTTCATTGCCATATTTGCCACTAGATTGTTGAGTTTTCCCGAACAAAGAATATTGTATATTTAACAGAACATGACTTCTTAATTTTGTATGTGATTTTATTTTCAATTCATGATAGTATGATTGGAGAATCTTAATTAAGTGGTTTAAGCCTTATAAAGCTCAAAGATCATGAACAATACCGATTAGATAATAGGCGTACCGGGGATTATTTCCCCAGTTTTTTACATTTTTCGAGCATGCAAAAATTTCGACATTTTCCATAACGACAATTTAATTTAGTTATCAACAATAATTTGCCAAATGTAACAACTTTAAGTTCATGATACCATCTCGCTTCTTGAAAAAAAATGAGGTGACGGTTGGCCGAAAATCAGCGATTTCAAATCTTTCTGGGGTTGCCAACCTCTAGCCATGAGACGAAGATATGGAAATGTCATGCACAATTTGACCCTATACATTTTTTTTTTAATAGAAAGAGCAATAACAGAAAACTAATACTGTGTGACATGTGTTAATGAAAGATGAGTAGAGAACATAAGAATTTAAATTTTGAATTAGACGTTAATCAGAATTAGAATTAAGCCCAGTATTGAGTGATCACGCTTCTGCGTCTCCGTGAAGCTCTTTCGCACCGTCCAAGGTCACTACGGGCACTCAAACTACCATAACACTACACAAAAATCTCACCTTCTTGTCAAACATCTTGATAACATTTTATTTTATATCTACTTTTTATCATTGTTGTACTTTGTATTTGAGTGATAAAGTCAGGGATATCGATAAATACAAATAATGGTGTATGTGTGAACTATTGCAGCTTGTTTAATTTGACCGTGCCGTTTTTAAAATAAAATGGAAACGGTTTACTTGTCATTTCTGTACTAGGTTAATTTTTCATAGGATTATGCGTTATACACGATCGCGTGTGGGTTCGCGAAGTGACTTTGGGCGGTGCGAAAGAGCCTTACAGAGACGCAGAAGCGTGGTCACTCAATGTACTTTGATCAAGCTATTGACGATTACATAAGCAACCAGTTAAATTATGACTCTTATGTCTTATGCAAAACTTGAAATTAGCTTACAATTATGGGAATCTCGAGACTTGGGAGAGGGAGACAGATTGAGAGAGAGAAAGAGAGAGAGAGTGAGAGAGAACCAAAACTGAATAGAGTAGAAGGAAAGATAGAAGGCGTCAATGCACCCCCCCCCCACCCACCACCACCAAAAATAAATCATTTGAGAAAAAGCATCATGATCTCCGAACAGGTGCATACCTGTACTATTCAAGAAGCCATTATCATTATCAACATCATCACTATTATCGTATGTTTCGTAACCATTATCATCATAACGATCATCATGATCATCGTTACCATCTTCATCATCATCATCGTAAGCATCATCATGATCATCATCGTAACGATCATCATCATCATCGTAACGATCATCATCATCATCATGACCATCATCATCATTGTAAGCATTATCATCATCATCATCATCATCATCGTAAGCATCATCATACGCATCATCATCATCATCATCATCAATACATGTTTTGGGGGTATGTTACATGTTTGTTGGCATATAAGGTACGAACAGTATATTTCATTTGTAAAGAAATGAGAAATGGCATTCGGAACCTTTTTTTTTTCTTCCAATTTTATTTCATTCATACATTTACACCACATTGCGGTGACACTTTTCAAGTGCACTATTACATTACACAGACAAACACTGTACAAGATTTACAAGCAATATAAATTAGTTTCTCTTCTAAATCCATTTGTATCTTACATACCTATTTACAGCTTTTGACATTGAGGAATACAACCCATTTCCCTTACGTCAGAATATCAACAAAATGTTTCTTTCTTCATATTTTACGAGTATTAAACAAGTATTAAACAGCCAAATCCCTATATTTCTGAATAAAAAATCTTTGGTTTTAGCGACTTTAAAAGCCTATGCTCCTTCATATTTTTACATATTATACAAATATTTTTCTTTTAATCTTCGTTCAACACTTTTTGTTTTACACATTTCATCACCGAGTTATAATTTACAATATCAATTTAGTAATAATTTAAAATTCATTATAACCATCTACTGGCTTAATTTTATCGACAGGCTTTTCCTCAGTATCATCACCAAAAAACCTTGAAATAACTGATCGTTCTTGAAAAATATTTGGTATCCAATCCATTAAATTTATTTTAAAATTGTTCTAAATTGTTCATTTTCGAAGTGATTTGCATGAGAGGTTCAAGCTCGTTTCTTAGGGAAGATATGTTCGGACATTTTTCCACCCTTCTCATACTTCATAAGACAGTTCACATCATCATGTTTTGAGGTGTCATTGATACTTTTCAGATTGCTCGTAACTGCGTCATGATTTTAAAAGTTGTGATGGGAACAACCATGTTGGGATGGGGAAAAGGAGAAATCAAGCTCCAATATTCTTGCATTTAAGGGTCGGTACTTTCACTGAGGGCAACCCCTTGCGTACTGCAACTGCTTTTTGTATTCAGTTACGTTTAGTGGTAAACCCTTACGTTAACCACATCAAAAAGCGATAACATTAAGGGCCGGGGATGATGTAGTCCAACATTTGTGTTCCGAATCCCCTATTTTTTTTTTGCATATGTGTATCAAGTGATAAATCAAATAAATTACATACATTTGGTGGATAAACGTTACACTGGCCTTTTTCCTAAATATATATACATGTATGTATATTCCAAAATCGAAAATTCCCGAAGTGATGATTACATATACCGCTCTTTGAGCGACCTGCATCAGATGATTACCAAGGGGGAGGTAACCTGAAAAGAGAGGGTTTACAGCAACTATATGAGTATGTCATTGGACACAAATTATTGATCTTCACAATTTCGGGACATCACTAGTCTAGGCTATTTATGCTTCACACCTTCAGCTTCACTTTTGCTTCCTGTTTAGATGGATGATATCATCAGCCTTTCACGTTATCCTGGGAATGACTTGATCCTTACTACGCAAGAGTTAAAATTGCAATAAGAAATATTATAATATTTGAAAAGCGAACTATTAAAGTTATCAAAGAAGATATCTATGTTTGAATCGCTGTGGCTCATTCAAGTTCACGTCACACCACAGCCAAATCAAATCACTGCACTTATCAAACGAATATATTACTCACAAGACAACAGAGAGTATGAACTGCATAGTGATAGCTTGGACAGAGCCATCTATATACAGTGTTTGGCCAACCCAATTCGAGATGGGCACAATATGGCGAATACTGCTTGGTTGGGTTAGCACAAATCAAAGGAATATACGCTATGTTGTGACAAAAGCAGTGAAAGCAAGTTGGCCAAACTCTCTGTATAGATGGCACTGAGCTTGGTCGTTAAAGGGGCTGTAGCATGACGAGACTATGCGTCTTTCCCGAGGCCCACCCGGGAGAAATCGGTATAATACGACTACGGACGACGCGACCGTAGTAGGCCTACGTTTTCACGTGCGTGCAACATAAGCGAAAGCGTGAGGAGAACGGTCTGTTACGCGAACGCTAGCGCGCGCTGACCCAGTTAATCAATCGTTTACGTATAGTTCTCCAAAAGACGACGTAGATGGCTTCAACCAGTATTTCCCATGCTACAGCCCCTTTAACTTGCGAGCGTCTCGTCATTAAACCTAACAGACTGGACGTACGGTGTTTCCAAAGACAAAGCATCTTGTTCTTAGTATGACCATTGACCTGCCGCTAGTAAGCGGATGTACTCCAAACATTGATGTTAACCAGTTTGGCTGAGTTAATATGAGTTGTGTGCAAGTAAGTATGTGCATCTTAATTTAAACCTATATTGCAAGTTCGCAATGGGGTCACTTGTGATTAAAGAGTTCTAGAATGCTCTCCTGAGTCCATTACACAATGTACTTCCGTTTGCCCTTGGTATTGAAGTTCCTGAGCTGTTGCTTCATGTATCGTTTCTTCTCCTTGGCGATGTGTTTCTGCGCACACTTCTTCTTCTCTGGCTTAACCAACGCCATCGTTTTGTCGCATATGACGACGTCGACCAGGTCGGCACAAGCTTCGCCGTGGTTCATGGGCTTCTGTTGCACCAGACGAAACCGTCGCTTCAGACCTACCCGACACGTGACGTCACAGTGGCTCCACCCACCCCATGACGTCACTTCACAGTCTAGAGGCGTCAGTACCTGATCAGATATCGTCGTCGTTGCTTTTGAATCTGACAAAGACATAATAAAAGAAGAAGGAAGCACATTAGTATATTCATTTACCATCACAAAACACAAAATTTATTGAATATTACCATATTTTTTGGGGGATCATTTTCGACGACCCTTAGCTCTCTGTGTACGTCTAATTCACAATCAATACAGCTATGACGTCAGAGTAAGGCTACTTCATCCCCCCCCCCCCTTTTACTTTTGGAGCGGCACCTACTATTCAAGTCACCACATGTCACAGTGTAACAATTTTAAAGGACATGGAAGCGTGAACGTATTGTGTTCACACTGCTTTCATAATGTGTGTTTTTCGGGGTGACATCACGTTATTCAACGTGGTCACGGACATACCACAGCGTGTTTGTGTCACCATGTGAACATGATCATAGTGTGGGCAACGTGGAAACACAGTGTTCACACTATCCTCACACTTTGTGACACTATTCTTCCCAATAATGTTCCGTACGTGACGCCTATTACCTTTAATCAAGCCGTAGAAGCGACTTTTGTTCTTTGGAATAGCGTTGTCTTGTTCAGTGCCGGCCACCCCTCGATCACTTTGTAATAGTCTCATCCAGGCGGGCTGTGCGTTATGTACTCGAGACAGCGTGACATGTGCGATGCGTGGCAGGTGCGCAACCCTCGGGTAAAAGAAAGAATTGGCAGGGTGGCTGGGGACGCGGGATGTGATTTCGACGATCGGTTGACGAGGGACCTCGGGGAAATCTGGTGACGTGAACATGAACCCTTGGTCCGTCCCTGCATCGAAGGGATAAAGGTCCAATGTCATGTCGTGTAACCACTCTCCACTGCGGCAAAGGTCAAGGGATGACTGACCCACAAACCAATCGGGACTCGGGTCGATACGAACAGCGAATGAGACCTGCGATAAGGGACAGAAGGAGAAATTGAGGTATATAAATAGACCATATTAAAGTATACCTGGATCTATTCCTTGTGGGATTTCTAATCGTATACATTGAATCGAGTTGCATCTGTAAGGCCGATGGAGCTGACCTTTCCGCTCTCTCCCACGCCTACACACAATTACTGAATCATTACCAGCTCAAATTGAACAGAAAGTAGAAGGGAGTCCTGTGACTGGGTGGCATAATCTACCTTTGCTTCTCACACAGGCCAAGCACGTCATGACTCTTTCACATTTTTATATAAAAGTAATATATTTTAACAAATCTCTTGGTCAATTAATATTTGAACTGAATATGAAATGTCCTCCGTTCTCGATGTTTAAAAATGTTAATGTCCAAATATTCATATTCGGCGTATGCAAAAGTGCGATGGTCTTTAAAGATGAAAGAAACAAATATTTTCAGACTCACTTGGTAGTGGATTTAATTATTTTGTATTTCGACTTAATATTAACTGTTTTTATATTAAAGCCATCATCTGTTATGTATAGCAATTTGGATGGAATCAAACTAACATTCAACATTTGTTGCTATGTCGGATAATGATCTAGCTACTCGGTGCTCGGATTATTAAAAGAACAAGTTTGGTATAACCGATCTATTGAAACAGCATTGTAAAGAATTTCGTTTAAGGTACAAGTGCTGCGTTTTCAATAGAGCACCTTTGACAGTACACCTGAAGATTATATTACGTAATGAATACCAAGATTCCATGCCTTACCTCGGTGAATTCTCGATGCATTCTAAACTGAATCGACGTGCTGCCGACCCCAGATGGAACGCCGTCACTGGCAAAGGTGGTATAGACATCTGTCGATCTACCAGTTAATGCTGGACGAAGGTTCTTGATGTCTGCTCCCTCGACGAACCGAGAGAACGGCTCACTGGAGACTTCACCCTCTTTCCACATCTGGAAACGACTGTTGTGTACCGCACCTGCATCGGGTGGAACGAACAGATAATTATTGAGAAGTAATATTCTGGCACAATTAAAAAGAATAATTCGTGGTTAGCATTCACAGTGAGTTGCCTTACTGCCTTACTTTTAATATTTTCCATTTATTTTATCTGATTCAGACCTACTTGTTTTCTGAATGGTTCGAGTAAAATAGTGAAGATTCCTGGTGGATAATTTACACCAAAACTGGATCAATCATACAATATTTTTATACATATTTCATCTGCTAGATGCAGGTGATCTACATCTTTGACCGGAAAGGGAGTGACCATGATCAACAAGCAGTTAAATTAATAGTTACTGAGTACGTGCTCTTCCTTGCCCCAGAGTGAACCCTAGAAGATGTAGGGCAGTCTGATTGGTAACCAGTTGTTATGGAAACGGCCAGGTTAATATCAACATACGAAAAACAGGGTTTTTTTCTCAACAAGCATGACAAAACAACGTAATTGTTCGTTTTGCTAGGGTACAGGGACATCGTTAAAACCTTTTAGAACAGCGATAGACCATAATTTGGCGAAGTATGGACATTTTTTAAGGGAGATTATCCACAGAAGCAGAAGAAATTGTCAAGATTGCTAGCTTCAGAAGTTACCTGAAAGTCTTCCAATGTGTCAATAAGTGGTGTTAGAAATAAGGGTACAAGAGCAGTCTGCAATAGGGAATATAAATTGGCCAACACAACCTGTGGATTTTCATTAATGCAAAAGGAAGTATTGTCGCATTCCCTAAACACACGCATCCTTGTAGCAATGCCCCTAGCCCTAGGGAAGAAATAGAGGTCATTTGTGCTGATACGATTCTGAAAAATGAAATCATCGAAGTTCTGTCAAAACAACATTTCAGTGCGTATTATATTTGTATATATTTATTCGGGAAATTGAGGGTAAGTATTTGCAAAAGGTGTTTGTAGAAATGCTGGGAAACTGACCCATGTCCTGTGGCTATGATCTACTTCAGAAGGTAACCTTCTCTGCCGGTCAGCAAGATGACCACTTGATATCTATCATGACTATATAGCTATAGCTATATGACATGTACAAAATCGAATTTCATGTATTCATGGTAATCGTTTACTAATGTTTCTAACACGTGACCTACAGTAAATCAGTCCAATCGTACATTGGGGTTGTTAGCCTGGGACGACTCAATATATACCACAGTTGCATATCCAGAAATGGAGAGACTGGGGCGGAAGACCCTCAAGAAGGGGGAGGGGGATTTACACGAGCAGCCAAACGTAACGTTGGTACAATGAAGGTAGTATCGATTTATGTATACTGGGTATATAAAAAGGGGGGCGTACGCATTCTGGAACCTATACTGGATACCCCACTAACATATTCGAGGATTTAAAGATCAACAACAAAATTGAAGAGAAAATGTATATATAAATTTATATTTTTGTTCATTGTAAACAATGACCTGTATGGGTACATTTGCTTTTCCACGAATTATAGGCAAATGTTCCCGACTCACGGAATATCTTTTAATAACACTTTGTTTAAAAAAAAAAAAAATACTGCAGGACAAAACACTGTTGAGTTGGGATTAAAATTTACAACGTCGGTCGCACGTATGATTGAGCTCATATCGGGGAAACGTTAATCAGTATTTCCAAGATTTTTAATTCAGTTTGAAATATTGCATGACGTCAGAGGAGGTCGGAGATACCAGTGCCAACAGGATATGGAAGCTGTTCTTAGAAAAGTTGGCAACCGATGGCATTGTAGTTTTCCACGCTCACTCTTAAAAAAAAGGCCGACACTGTGTCTCGTAACAGATATGATGTTGATCCAAGTTTACATGGCATAACAATATCGGGTTCTCATTAGGCGGGTCGAACAGCTTTGAGGCCATCTTGCTTTACATTTCCATGTCATCAAAGATTAAAGCAGGAAATACATAATAACTTAAACGTTTTTTTTTAAAAGTACATTGTCCCTGTCTTCTACCGGTACATAGCAAAACTAGCAAAGTCATTCATGCAAAGTTACTTACAATTTTGTTGAGTGACGTTGTTAAATTAAATTTCTTTTCTTTTGTATTTCGCATTCTAATAAAGAAAAACGATTGGACTTATACGCGCTTTTGTCGGGCAAGGTCTTATCTTTTGAGTCGTAGCTGACAATGGGCAGTAGTCGCGGTCACGCAACCTACTGTGTTTGTAATGATGACCCCGTGTTATAGACAAGTGCCAATTTTGAGGTGGAAATGACATCTTATAGGATCTCTTTTTTTATCATCAAACACCGCTCAGTTTCTCTGCCCTAGTCGGGTACTTCAAAAACCATTTGCTAATCAAAAAGCTAAATGGCCCGGTAATGTACCTGCGGGATCGCAGAGTCTAGTGTTTATATTCGCTGTGTGAGGCCCAGGAGAAAACTTTCTGGAAAGTTTTCAAGCCCGGTGTCGCGATCGCAGAGCAGACGACCAGTGGTTTCATGAGAAATCGCGCGTGGTTGCCATGGTTCCTTGGTGCTAGAACTGGCGGGAACTCTTATTCACCTTGAATCGGTAATTGAGAATTACTGAGCGAGCGGAGAGTCGAGTTTCATTTTGTGTGACTCATCTGGCTGGGTTATGACGGCAGGCTGCCAAGGGTCTACTGCCTACCAGCAAGGAGCAAGAAACTCATGAGCTAGACAGTTTCTTTCTCTGACTGATTAGATTTAAACTTTACTGCACATGAGAAGGAACATGTAATTGGAGGCTAAACAAGCACTGACCCAAATCCTTTTATGATGATTGTCCAACATAATTATACTTCTACTCGAAATTGTATATCTAAATTAAATATAAGGCTTATACCATGAGTAACGACATAATTCAGAAATTATTCATCAAGGTAAATAATTAATTTATAATTTGATATTAAAGTTTTAATTCGATTCAGTGCCCTGTATGCTTTAGTTTCGACGCTTACATAGTTTACAAAACATTGAAGCAATTGCAACCCTAGACTCCCTTATTTGCTTTAAAACATAAAAACTAAGCGGTTAATATTCTTTGTATTTTCAAAATCCCTTAAAAACTTTCTTCGCCCGTATCCAGTTTTTCTCTTTTGGTTGTTTTAACTGAAATTTCTTCAGATTTCTAAGAAAACCTTTGAAAAGTGATTCCATCGCGTTTCCCCCGATTAATAAAACGAAATGACAAATAACACCTTCAACCTTTCGCTCTAAATATTCGTGGCTTGAGTCATGGGGCTTTCTTTTATACTGAGCGGTGTTTTACCATCTTCTATAGATAGCAGGGAACGAGGATCGGGTTACTATGACAACTGGGTCTACATTTTCGTTGTTTTCCGAGAAGATATCGAGCTGACCGAAGAAAAATGCGGCTCACGCAAGCCTCTCTTTTGGATGACATTAATACTGGCACAGGATAAGCCGTGTAATAGAGGGTGCAAGACAGTTAGGGTTTAATTGGTGTGATTATCGCCTCAGGCTGTCGGTCATTCTGACATCTAAGGCAAGATTGATCCAACCCAGACCCGTTTCCCACTAGTCTGTATTCGGTATCACTTTCGTTTCTTCTGGTTTATGTTTGCACTAAATTTGTGTTATGATTGTAACGTTAGAATCTGTTTGTTTTGCTCGTCATTATTTCTATGACTTTAATAGACCAAGCGATCACGAACTTGTATTAGGACTACGGTGATTAGAGAGTGGAGACAACGTGATATAAAGTAGTAATAGATTTTGATCTTGCATTCGTTGATACATGTCAATGTATGATATTCAATTCCATTGCAAACGATGCTTTGGTGTTTGTTTTGTATATATTTTTTTAATTTATACAATAGTCATAAAGATGGCAATTTAAGGTGCGGTAAATTATTATGCAGTCCTGGGATACGAGATGTATCAGCTTAATAGTCGGTGGACAATATCGTCAAACTGTATTAACTGATCGCTTTAGATGGCTAGTGCCTTAACTAATTTTTAACCGTGGTACATGTCACCGAAACTTACTTCGACAGCCGATTTCGTAACCGGTACTGTTTTAATCATTAAAGTCATTGATGTCGTAATCATTTCATCCTGCCTTTATCAGCTGTTTTCAATCATGATTTCTGTTCAATGTTTTTGGTTGGATGGTGACGGTTCTTTATTCCAACACAATTATGTTCTGCTACACTATAAGATACTAGCGCAAATGTTCGTTTGGACGTAAGCCTATCGCAAACAGTGTGTGTGCGTACGTGTGGGTGTGCGTGCGCGTGTGTTTAGGGAATGCGACAATTCTCCCTTTTGCATTACGGAATTTCGTGCGAAGCTGCCGACCGTATTAAGCCCATACATTTAGATCCTATTGTTCGTCATGTTATTCTTGACCCTGTATCCTTTCCTATTCCATTTTTTACTTGTGTAATAACCATAAAAGGTCACATGTCTGTCGTTTTTAAAACAAATGTACCATGCGAAAATTTACGATTTATTTCAGCCTTTATCTCTAAAATAAAAGATGTTGGATTGAATGATAATATCGCAATTAGTCGAAAGGTAAAGATTTTATCACGTCTTGAATGTTAACCAATTTCTTGTCTGAAAGCTTCTTTAAAGAACACAAGACAAACAATGGCTTTATTGTGAAAACCCACAGAGTTGGAATTCCCACCATAGTGGGTACCCATTACTCATTAATGTCAAGTTCACACCGTTTCCTTCACTATAAATTTCACATCTGTTAACCTTCTCATATTTTCTCATCACATTCGCTCTATTTCATACCCTCTACCACGTTCTGTCTTCCATCTTTCCTTCATTTCATCCTTTTTTTTCCTTTTTCTCTCATTGTGTGGAGGTTGCTCGTATTACATCTAGACTCTAAGGGAACCAGCAGCGAGACTGCGTGTTTGATTTTCAGCCCCAGCGTGGGACATCCTGAACCACTCTTGATGGTAGAACTCACAGCGTGCCAGCAAGCCCCCATCATTACGTCCCTTGACAAGAACAAACGTCGAGTAAAATAAGATGACCCTTTTCATGATTATTAAAGGTATACATATTCATTCATTCTGCCAGAAGTTAAAGATGATGAAATAATCTCTTTCAGTTATTAAAGAGATGTTTAAAGTATTTCCTTATACAAAAACTAGAACCAGAAATGTTGTACTTTAAGGAGAAATCTGACAATAACTACCTAGACATGATTAGAGGAATGTTTTTAAATGGTATTAAGATAAAATAAAAACAACTTTGATTATACACGAATATTGCAAGACAAAGGAACTTTAATCCGTATCGATTTATGGAATTCTGATAATGATATTAAGCAAATACATTTCAATATTTGAATGAAATTTACAAACGGGTCTCACTGAACAAACTTTATGTCGAAATATTAATTTAAAGGATAATTTCATATCCCTTAATTAAAAATGGATGATATGAAATTCTACGCTAGGAGTTGCCATCAACGTGACTGCATGCATCTACTTGTAGCAAGATTGACTGTTATTACTGGGAAAATCGAACAAGCTACAACCCAGTTGACCAGGGGCGGCGATCCCTGGAGAAGGGGGGACACGCCCCCCCCCCCCCGGAAAATTTGAAAAATTGCCAAAAGAATGTATAGCAAATACTGTCTAAAGACTACAACACATGTTTAGAGTGCAGCGTTTAGACTAATGAAAATGCAAAAATCTTCTCACTCAGTCGCTACGCTCCCTCGCATAATATCCTTCAAAATGAAGGGGTAGTCACTTCCGTCACCCTCGCCCTACCCGTTCACTAGACTCCCTCGTCCCTCGCACTTTTGTCCCCTCCCCCGGTCTTGAAAAGAAATCGCCGCCCCTGCATGTTGACCAAAGATTCGCGAGACGGAAATATCAGTCTCGTCAACCCTCTCTTTTTCTGAGGTTTCCAGACACAACTAGAGATCTGCGAGACCGAAATTTTTGGTTGAGAACTTTCTTACACCCCGCCAAAATCGTAATGAATGAGCAGTCAATTCCATTCTCTTGAGCTTTCAATCTCGCTAGCATTTTACTTTCCGTCTAGTAAAACTTCGGTTAAATGGGGTTTCCCCGTACCGGCTACTCACTGCCGCTTACTGTGATCTAATTCAAGTACTAAATACTAGGCTTAACTGCTTGTTTTCATAATGTAATAGGTAGCTACATAATACCGTCAAGATTATTGGTAGAAAATTAGTAGTATAAGAAGGAGCATGATTTTGTTTAAAGGAAAAAGATATAAATTGGAAGACTAGAAAGAAGGACAATGAAAAAGAAGGAAACATCTTCAGGTAGTAAAAGAAATCCTTTGAACGAGATTCAGGTAATAGGATCTCCGCAGCCGCTCTCAGCGTGAACTGGGGACCCCCTCTAAAGAGAGGTCAAAAGAACAGCGAGGAAAAAAATCATCACCCATGTGCCCCTGCTTTAAAGTACTCTGATAAAATCAGAAGATCTGAATCTCCTCATTCTTCGAAAGTAACAAAGATTTAGCTCAAACCTTTTATAGATAATATGAAGAAGAATTCAAAGAAAACCCTCGCTGTATAATAATACAAACTAGATTGTATCTATGAAGGATAAAAAAGCAGTAAATTACATGGCTTTTGTACAAAGCCCTACAAACCCTAAAGGCTAACCCCAGGGTTTGTAAGAAACTTACAATGTTTTCAGGTCTATGAAAATGTAAAAAACAGTGTGAATCCAATATCATTGTGGACGAATTGATTAATTGATTAATTAGTCATTAGTAGAGAGGAATGAAATGTAAGCTAATTAAAAGTCCATGATTTAGAACACATCGTTTTTTATTGATTCTAAGTGTTCAGTGTATATGTTTCCTGTCATTTCAGCTGTTATCCTTTGGACTTTTAATATTCTTTGTGTAAAAGTAGGACTGGCACACAATCAGCAGACACATTTGGTTTACATATGTTCTCACTGAGAAAAAAAAAATGGCCAAGGTCCTTAGTACGGTATTAACCTTTTCAATCATAAAACAGCAATTCTATTTTAAGAACAAGAATATATTATCAGAACAAAATATTAAAGGTCTTGAACTTTTTCAAACTAGGTCTTGTAAACTTTCTCAGATGTAGTTCTCAAGATCAGAGTCCTATATGACTGGTTCTAAAATATATAATGTCTTATACAGCATTTTCAAACTAAAACGAAAATGGCTACTTTGTATAAATCTACTACCGTCCAGACATATTGCAAAGTTTCAATAAAAAACATAACCATCTAGTAATTATTGTTTATTGTATGAACAGTAGACGTTTTAAGAAAGAAGGAGACGTATCTTTTTTTTCTCTCTCGGGGGTTCTTGATGGGTTCATGGAAAGTACTTAGTAAATTATGCCGTAGTTATTACTTAATTTCATATAACATCTTATTTCAGTCGGTATTCGTTTTCTAGATTAACTTGCTTATTGGATGTCTGAACATTTTTGACTGATTCATTTAATGCAAAAGGTCCCTTGCCCGAAACAAAACACTAAAACATTTCCTTTAAAAGGTCACACATATGTCTCAGAGTTGCCCTTTTCATGCTCTATGAGTCGAGAGAACACCCAACGATTACCGTCTGGTTTCTAAGGGGCTACTCGCAGTCTCGCACATGGTGCCTTACCGCAACAATTATGTTGAGTTCACCCAATACAATTCATGTTTAAAGGTGTTCAAATTACATGAATAGCAAGATGATAAAGAAAAATTTACTTGGTGTCATTTTTTTTTCTCTGAATTTAAAAATGTAAGTATCAATAAAGTGGACATAAAATTGATAGTCGTTTATTGCAATTAATATATATTCGTGTAAGTTTTCGCAAACTCATACAGATGTCGCTTGGTATAGGAACGAACTTTAATGTATTAACGAATGATGTCCATATGCTGATTACCAAAAAGTAGGACGCGTCAAGGGGCATAGATCATACACGTGCAGCTCCATGCAACGCCCTCTCCCAACCATACACCAACGTCTATCACTCCCCTCGTCAAAGATTTCGCAACTACAACTGTACTTGCTAATCTACTCTAGATCTCACATAAAGCCATGTGCTCGAATCCCTACGAAACTTGATAACATCTGATGTTCCGGATTAAAAGTACTCTTTCCTGACATCTTTTCAAACACGTGTTAATAGCTCTACAAAGTTCGTTTTCGTATTGCCAATAAGAGAACTCAGGATCTTCATTTTTTCGGGGAAAATGAATAAAATCAGGAGAAAAAATTAAACCATTGTAGACAAATACCAAAATCTGACGACCCTGTGTTTTTCATTGCTTGTTGGAATGTTTTTTTGCTTTCCTTGTTGCTCTTTTATACGACCCCCACCCCCTTTTCAAATATTCTAGTGCTGCCCCTGCTGAAGGTATACGTGTTCAACCCGAGATGACGTCGGGTACATCAGACAAGCCGTGAAGGCGTGGTAACGTCACAATAGATTAGATTGATATGAACGATTAATAGGTCATTCCCTTCAGGCGATAACCTAGGCCCTCGTGTTTCGGTTGCTAAACGCCAGACGCAAAGTCAGACAGAGGACGTGAACTTTGGAGCGTGTACACCAACCAATACGACGAGACAATCCTACACTGCTATGCCTGTTGCACTCGATGCGTCATTTTGACTGCGTCATTGCCTGCGTCAATGCGCCAGTCATTCAAAGAAAGTCGTTTTGAATTTGCTTTCTGAACGAATTCACTCTCACAATTAGGTGCGTCAAAAGACGAGTAAGTCATCGACACAACCCTGCGTTATAACCAACGCTAATGAAACTTATGCAAAGGAATAAGCTCAAACCCCAATGATTTAATGCATTATTTACTGGCACTATTTATTTTGCATTCGTTGTTTTTTCTTAAACGACATCACTTTTACATGGCCGTCAAAGACTGAACATGTCGCTGACGCATCCTTAAATCAGGCCAATGACGCATCGTGTGCAACAGGCATTAGGTCGAGGGCTACATCTCTTAAAGAGCTGCAGTTGGTCCAAATCGATTGTATGACATCCAATCAGTCGCAAAGTTATGATCTCTCATTTCTTACGTTAGGAGTTGTGATATCAAAATCTAGTTGGATCGATTCGGATCAATCGTTATTTTATCAAATTAAGGTCAAGGTGTTATGACGGACAAGCCTTTCCCAAGAGCTAATTCATTAAAGAAAATCCACACAAAAAATACTTCCCGTATTCACAATTTTGCCATCATCTCTGGCAATCAAAAGTAACATGAAATCAAAATGTAACAATGGTATTTCAATCTTAGCAGGGGAAAACATAACTGAGATCGCAGTTGCCAATTCACAAATGACCGTCAAAGTCGAACAAAGATTTTCATGAATATCGAAATATAGAAATGTCACTCTCTTTGCATTTCATAACAACTATTCTCACGTTGTTCTTTCTCATTCTCATTCTAACAAAAGCGAACGCACATCTTGCACACGCTTATTGTGGAATGATTGGAGCCGAGGCTTTCCTTTCGTCTCCTTTCATACATACTTATCAGTGGTATTACTAATTATAGGAACGTCGCATAAGGGGTGGAATTTGAAAACTCTTCCCCATTTCAAAATTTATTCCAGTAAACTTTTGTTGTAAGCAAGCGTGAATAGTAAAAGGCCCCTTTCTTGTTTTGTTTGATTGGCCGGGTGTTGAGTGTGACACCCCCTCCCCCTCCCACCTTAAAAAAAAGTATCGGCTAAATAAATACATCATTGCTGTAAGAGTATTTTAAGTCTGAGGTAATTTCAAACTCTTGTCGTCAAATTTGGTTCGACGTCACTCCCGTATGGATGAAATTTTTCTGACACCCATGTCATGTCTACATACGATTTGATTTAAACTTCTTTTTTGTTCACTTACCCAATACAGGTGACCACTGTGCATTCTTTCTATATATCGGGTATTGCTTTGGAAAAGCTGTCTGACTCCAGTCACCATGGAACGTTAGTTCGTATGTCACCGATTCTTCGCTGCTTCTGCATGCTCCACTCGCAACCTGCAAGGAGCTCACCAACCAGAATGTTGCTGCGAGCAGCGAAGTCACCGTTGGGATCATCCTGCAGAAAGGAAAAGATGAATTATTATCTCGAAATGAAGAAAAAAGGATAAAATAATAAAGTACAAAAGGTTTCTGGAAATGAATTCATATCTATCAATGTCAGAAATAAGTATATAAATTGGGAGAAATATAGATGATAAGCTATAATAGGAAACCATTTCACCTTGAAATATCTCAAATATGCATTGATTAGCTTTCCTCTGTAAGAAATATACACCCTTCGGTGAGCAAGATGGAAAAAATAATCAGGAAGTGATCCCACTAGATGAAGCGACAAATCTTTATTCGGTCTAGTTCAGATTGAAGCTAATTTTGCTGTGGCCAAACTTCTGCATGATGACTGTATAAGAAAAAGTTGTGAAATTACTAAAGAGCATTACCTTGTATGAAGTTGTGAGAGCTAGCCCGTGAGAGAAAGCAAGAAGGAAATGGTTTAGGAGTCCGATGATGGTATAAGCTGGTCTGAAAACTTCAAGGAGGGGCACTCGTTTTTATACCAAGAGTTGGCCAGTCAATCTAATGTCAATCTGAGATGTTAATTTCTAACCGGTGTATGGAGCAGACGACGTGATGTCAGACTGATCGGTCTGGTAGAGGGCGGGAATATACGGACCGGTCTTTGTGATGTATCCCATGGTCGTCATGACAACGGTAGGCGGGAGGAGTAAACTCAGTTATATCGGATCGTCTGCCATCCGATCGCCCCATCAGGGGACCGAAAGGAGGATGGGTTCAGAACGTATTATCCATATGATATTCCATTTAGAAGTTAGTACAGCGCGAGCATTTTATGTTTTTTGTTTTATGCGGCGTGTGTGGATATACAAAATGAGAGCAGTGGTCGCATTGTACATGTATAATTTTAGTCAACACATTTTAGTTATCAAACGTTTTCATGGAACTTCCCCATTTATAATTATGATAGGTCAATATCTCCAAAACAATACAAAACTATTATTTCTCGGAAATTTATAATAGCTCGGCGGAGATTCTCGTAATATTATCCACACGTTTTCAATAAGAAATTACCAATCACCCGTGTCAGAATCTAAATTGAATTACTATTTCAGGGAAAAGAATGCCTTCTCGGAAGTGATGGGTATCTCGTTTATGTCATCCAGTACCTTTGCTTGGAAAAGGAACCTTTTCTTCATATTCCTAAATCCACCGCTGTTTTTATTGCTGCATTGTATACTCAGCTCTATCTTTCTGACAGTCAGTGCATTCAAAAACTTTCGATGAAGCCTTGTACTGAGGTGACGAACTCTTTGGTGTCCTAGAGAGATGTTCATCAATGTAAGCCATTGACAATCATATAAAACAGGTGCCAATATTTGAAGATGAGAGTTCTGACACTGACTCATCTTCCACGCATCACAAGAAGACGCACACGAATCGAATTTCAGCGATACCCGCAGATGAATCTAACGGCGCGAAACCGGCATTGAGGAAAAACTCATTACCATCATTCTACGCGCCATTAAATCGCTGGCAACTTTTCAACTATTACTTCTTACCCCACACACCACCACTCCTTCTCAGATTAGCCCCATACCGTGACGTAGACCTTTCCCCTTACGAGGACAGTCATTGGGCGCGTTCATGCTTGATTTTGAAGGCAGAATGAGCGATTTGTAACGCTCATCGTAAACGCTCATCGTAATCGCAGTTCCACGGTGCACTGTTCATGCTCACTTCTCCAGGCAATTCTCCTTGGGTGGCCTTCAGCTGGATTCGCAAACCTGTGTGCGCATGCTACGTAGACCCACTAGAGGTCAGTGCGTTGACCCCATTTAAACGCGTTTACAAATTGTAAACGCATCTTTTTGTGAGTTTACGATCGGCGATCGTGATCGCCGTTTTTCGGTGATTCTACAAAAGTGAGCATGAACGCAATTGTGTTTTAAACTAAACGCGTAACAGATGCCTGATTCTGGCCGTCAAAATCAAGCATGAACGCGCCCATTATATAATGTCTTTTGGATGACGTCCAAACTGGTTGACCCGTTTCTCAAATCCGCTTCTCACCGCAGCACATCACGGTCGTTAAGTAGTCACCTGTAACAAGAGTGCCTACGGCCTTCCATGACCAACCAAGTCGTAATTACTCACCTTAATGAATCCTATGACGTCAATTTGACGCTTGAACATAGTCTTCCCATTGAACTCCCGAAACTGTTCCTCGATTAGTCAATTATTCGCCGCCTACACCGTGGCCTTTCCGGAGAGTGCAGTCCTAGGGGGACCTTTCGTCACCCCCAGACAGCCCTAGTCGAGCAGACCTGGGATGCGGGGTTGGATGTCGACCTCGTGTCAATCTAGCAGGCTCGGAAGTACAGTAGTCTTTGCACTAGTTTACGTGAAACATTTATCTTTATCTATGTTTTGCTTCCTCCAGTATAAATACAAACAAATCCACGATGGTAAGAAATAAATAATGGTGCACTGAATTAACAAACGTTTGATTCGCAGAATAAATAACAATTATTTGTATTTATAAATTCACCTGCACATAAGGAGTCAAGATTCGATATGATTAACATCCGTTCAAAACAATCAGAGTGATTCTTCCATATCAAAGACAACCAATCAGGCGCGTACGCAGGGGGGGGGGGGTGACCCCCCATTGCGATTTTATGTAATAAATTTTTTTTATTAAAAATATATATATATATGATAATGGGTGACCCCAAAAACCTGACCTTACCCCACCCCCCGGCCAAATTTTGGGACAAGGAAAAAAATGTCCTCTTACCACCCCCTCCCCCCCCCCCCACTTATTCAGCGGTTGGTTGAGTCGTTGCGAAATTTTTCGGCGTGATTTTAAAATTTTGAACCCCCCCCCCCCCCCCCTCGAGAAAAAAAATCCTGCGTACGCGCCTGCAACCAATGCATAGTTTCTTGCAAATGGTACAAAATTAATCATTCAAAATGTGATTCGGAATAGCTAATAATAATTGTAACAAAATCGAATATTCAAGGAAGATATCACCGCGGTCTGCCAAGTGGCATATCATTGATATCATAAAAAAGTTTCGTACCAGATTTTTTTTTTTTAGCCATTCCTCCATTTTGTTTCATTGTTTATACAGGCGTGTTTTTTCTCTGGACCAACATCTATAATTTATGCAGGCCTTTCAACAAGCTCTCTTGGTGTGACATATATAATATCAATAATATCGAATGACTTTATAATTATGTCCACAAACATTTCTCCGTCTCGGCGGATAACGAGAAAATTTAAATCTCGATTTGCAAAACCAATGGAAACCAAAGAATTGGATAGCATAAGAAAATCAATCTACAGTCAGAACTTATCCTCACAATTTGGGATAAAAGGCCCTCATTCATTCAAATAACGAGGGCAATTTTGTTTAAATGTAATGTTGATTGCTGGTAAAATTGAAATTGCTTCAGGTGTTACAAGTAGGACAAGTTAAAAGGATTTGCAGGTCGAAAGTGGTGAAAGTGTCATGTTGTTGCGAAACGGTCTTCCACTTGAATATAGTTAATTTTAAAATATTGACCCTTCCAAAGAATTTCTAAACCTAAGATCTAAACAATCTGATTAATGACCTGTTGGGGGCCGGGGGAGTGGTAGTCAACTGAATAGTCTAAGATGATACTAAGTGTGTTTAGGGTCATTATATTAGATTCATTTCCCATTTACATTTTATTTATAGCCCTACAAAACCATCAGGTAACAAAATAGGTATTGGCAACACAAATTTGAGAATATGAACAATTGACAATATGTTCATTAACGTAAATTACGCAAATTAACCAGCTTTCTGCAAATCTCAGGCTTTACTGAATACCCTTTCACTCTAAAAAGCTGATTTTAGCACAAAATGTTCTCTACATTATATCTAAGCGGTGAGTGAATCAGAATTTGTATATTTTACTTTCTTTACAGTCTTATTTTTTTGGTAACACTGTTATCAATATATGACTTTTATAGCTGCAAAAAATATTTAAAAAATAAAGAAATTGTGTCATAAAACTGATATAAAGTAAAATATAATATAATATACTGTCACAAATATAATATAATATATTATTGGTCACATGCTTGTGGGCATTTCGACGTACTGTACCAACCACAATGAATGCTATTATGAGTCATATAGTTAAGATGGTCAGCATTGTCTATTATCTTTCATATTTTATTTTTTCTTGAAGCACAGTACCACAATTCAAGAAGGCCAGAAAGATTAATATGTGGTTTCGATTCTCGCTTAAAAACCGTTGGATATTAAACCACCTATACCGAATAGCCCTTTGACGATTAAAATTGTGACCAAGAGATTTAAGTCAGAAGATGGTTTTAATGATTCATATTTGGTTTATTATTCTATGAAGACGTGTCCCGCGGCGTTTATCAAGCCATTTGAATAAAGGACAAAGAAAGTTTTTCAGATTGTTATAAATAACCTATGAAACACTCAATGTGTAATCATCTTATATAGTCTATTTATTAAGCACTTTAAAAGGTTAGTACAACATGAGATGAGAAAAAAGTAGCCATCGCTCATGCTTGGTTGATATAGTCTGTACAATGCTATACTTGGCGGTAACTCATGACTGAACATTATTTCAAATTTCCGAGTGACGCCCCCTCCAGGATGCTTCCCCCCCCCCCCCAGTACACCATCATAGTCACCCCCTCTATCAACCTTGTACCTAAACTGCTTGTAAACTTTGAGTGGCCTTCTAGCCCCAGGCATGCCCGATTCGACGTGTATGATGGCGGTCAGACCCGGGGGTTAGGCCATGGGTTCGCGCGGGGGCATGGGGCTTCTCAGCGGTGACATGGGGCTTCACAGCGGTGACATGGGGCTACTCAGCGGGTACCTATATCTGATTCATTGGTGCCCATCGGGAGGTACTCTTTACCTGCTTCTCATACCGCCAGTGGCGATAGACTCTGGATAATGCTCAGCATCATGGTCACATTAATGCCTCAATGTAGTAAAACATTACACACACACACACCAAACAAAAAAACTCGACCAGGGACCAGGGAACAGATTCGCCTGTTCTGTTTCTGTGAGGTCTGTTTCTAGAGATCCCTGGTGTAGATATTCATGCTTTACCTAAGCTAAGGAAATTATTGAAAATTATACAAAATACCCTTATTACGCAATATACAGTTTTACAATTGTGACATTTATCAAATATTTCTCTTTTTGATAGATATATCAAACATCTGCCCCCCTCCCTCCCCGGAAAAATCGAATTAAAAATCATAATCGTGTCTTCTATTAACTTGAGGGCCACGTCTTAAAAACAGTTGCGATCAATTGCAACTCATTTGCAATTGATATCAATCGCAACTATGTTGTAGAGGTAGGGGACTGCAAACTTTTCAACCCCCCGCCCCCCCCCCCCCTCACACCCGCTGGCTAATTCGCCGCTAAATATTTTCTCACGAATTTGGCAAATAAACACCTCCCCTTAAAAAAATCCTGGATACGCCCTTGACCTATCCCATGTATCAATATTATCATGTATATGCATAAAATGACTAAATCGTCATAGTTTATGACACTTTGTCATTGAAGTGTAATATTTCTTAGAGTAAGTCAGATAACACTGTAATCAAACTCCTATATGCGAACTACAATTTTATATTATTTACAATTTCCTCTTTTGATTTATAGGATTTAAATCATTTCCATACGTGATGACGAAAAGGGTATAAGTGGCATTTTTCTTATAATGGTTTTTGTCATTTTCATTTGATACAATATTATAAATTTAATGGATAAGTAAGCATTTAAGCACTGTGTTCAGTTTGCAACTCACATGTTTATGCACATGTTAAAACGATGCTCCCTCGAATTATATTAAAGGCGTG